AAAAGATCCACATGTATTTGCACCTACCGCAATCGACATTTTTGTGAAAATTTGTCTATAATTTAAAAGATTACAAATATCTCGAAGCTCCGTACCATAATTTAAGTAAAACCAAATACATAAGACGCATAAAATCCTAAATTAGGCACATTCATTAAACTTTTAAAGCCCATAGAAACAGATGTAAACAAATCAAATTTACCAACTTGACCTTTTTTACCTTCTCTAACAAAGAGTTCCATTTCTTTTGATGAATCTCAACTTGGTTTCCGCCTGTATAGGCTTTACATTTACTGTATATGTGTTCGGAAACTGGCACTAAAAATTGAAAGACATCTCTTGGTCCCAATTGCAATATATTTTTGTTTTTTCACTGTCAGATAAACGACTATAAAAATTATAATTTTTCCGTAAAATAAACATTTCTAAATGTTCATGAATTATAATGTACTAAAACTTTATTTGCCTAAAGAATAACGACTGAAGCATATAGTCTCTGTTCTCTGGACTCTATTTCTAAATAGTGATCAACAATCCTTAAGGGCATACAATACAGTTTTGATCCCACGGTAAATTTTTTACGAAAGTTTGCATACAAGCTATTTTTCACCTAGTCAATTCAAATATGTAATAAAAAATATACCCTTTATGTGCTAATTTTATTTTACTTGACTTTGAAAGGAATGACGTTGCGCACGGTATTGGTGTCTCTTTGAAAAAATGCGATAGATAGCGGGTTATTCCAATTCAAGCTCTTTTCCTACAGAATGAATATCCATGTTCTGTATATCATTCGAAAGGACATAAACCAAAGAAATCAATAAAGTAGGTGATGTTGTGCTTTGTATATTTTGTAAAGGAAAACGTTGCTCATTTCGATGCCTATAAAGTCATTTTAAGGGTGTCCCGCTGTTACAATTTTGCTTTGTGCGCGTCTTTGAAATCACAGTGTGGATTAATTAGTAGGTTAAATGAGATAAAATTTTACAACAGTATTGTACACCATTGACGAAAAATTGTGTCATAGACGTTTTTAACTGTGAGCGAAAGAAGATTGTCAGAAGCGTTGAGATTAGGAAGAGAAAAAATGTCCCATTCAGCTGCTCAGCTATAAAAACTTTCTGCCTTCATTATTACAGGATATAACAGATGCAAGTGGCTGTTGATAATAAAAGAAAATTTATACATGACCTAAAGAAGCAATCTGAAGCCATCACTATATAACTGCGGTCTTACTTTCATAACATCGTCAGTTTTCCCGTGTCCAATAAAATGTCCCCATGGACAAAATAACACATAAAATAAATTGGAGGCTGTTTATTAAACGAAATTTTACTTGATCCGCAATTTTTAGCAAGTTTTAACAGATATGAATGGAAAATACATTTAATTTCCTCTAAAATGATATGCTATATATTTTTGTTTGAACTGCAGGTAGAAAAAACGTAACGATCTAAGATGTCCAATGACATGTCCCCAAAACTGTAATTTGACGATCACGTCATGATAACGCTAAACTGTACATGAATTTTCTTGCATATTTGGCATAAAATTGTCTGATCTATATTAAAAATTTAATTTCATGAAATTGTCTGATCTATATTAAACATTTTATAAATTTATTGTTTGATATGCATCAAAGTAGATCTGGTTTGTATAAATAATTTAAGATGACGAAATATTTAACTCGGATACTTGATAAAGACCAGTGTTCTCGGTCATAAAACTTTACTCAGTACTCGGAAGATAAAACTTGTGCTAGAAACACCAAATCCAGTATTTTAATTGGTTGCTTTCCGAGTCTGAGTCGTGCTCCTTGGCCAAAAAGTGAGAAAAGATAACATATGATCACAGTCTCGTAAATTTTTTTGTTATAAGTGTCGCTGGTGTTTACTAAGAGTTTAGACTAATCTTTAATCATCTACACAGTAACATGTGTATGAAAAAGAAGGTTTACATTGTGTGGCAGAAAGGAGTTGGTTGTCTCGAATCTCCAACAGAATTGCCAGCTACATATTAGGCTTGCGATGCAACGAGTATTAAAGTTAAATTGAAACTTGTCTTTTACATTAATTGGAGATGGAAAGAGAGAGAGAAAAAAAAATGTGTGCTCAGTGTTAGGGTAAGCGTTGTCCGACAAATATGATGGATTGCACACAAACATGTAGCAGGCTCCAGCGTAATAATTTACAGACACTCCTAGGTACATTTTAACCTAGTCTAAGTTCCCTTTCGAAAAAAAAGTCTACCCCGCATCTTCCGAAATTTCTTATTTTCCGTATCTTTGAAAGCGTTTGTTTTGCTGGAAGTTCAATATTTATAACCAATTTATAGAAAAAGTTGGAGAGAATATCAAATAATGATAAATATATACTGTGTGTATAATAAATTGACACCATATTTCCTCTTTTTTAACCACTAAATCAACCACACAATGTCTACTGTGTGGATAAATGGTTCTCTCCGAACACCCCGGCTTCCTCCACCAATAAAAACTGACCGCCACAAGATAGCCAATAGTGTTTAATGTGGAGTTAAACACCAAATAATCAATCCACCAATCTGTTCGGTGGAAATTTTGTTTATACTTGTTAAAACAAAATCAAAAACACTGAAACCGAAAATCCAAAAATAACCCGTTTGAAAAGGATCTTAAAATGTCAAAGAAAATGTAGTGTAAACCGATACCCAGTTATATGTTGAAATTGGAAACACTGAAACAAAAACTATTTAACGTATAAAAAGTAAATTAAATACATTCCTGGTCCATAGTAATTTCTTTCAGATTCTTGTATATTTATGAAAGAAGTTACTAAAAAAATATACATCTTGTCACAAGAAAATTAGTATACTTTTTAAAAATCGGTTTTCGGCCTGTTGTTAATCAAATAGTGGTTAAGGTAGATTTAGGTCTTTATAAAACGGTATAAGTTTTCCATACTTTGCCAAAATGCTATAATTTCAAAAAATAACAAAAAGTATGGATCGCCGACCTTTTTTTAAAGCTTAATTTAATAAAGGTTGTGAAAAATTATCAGATTTTGTAAGGATGCTACATGGAAAAGACCCTTTTATGTGAATAAAAAGAAAACTAAACGATGGAGTGTTAAATACAACGTATACATGAGAAGATGGTTCTCTTTTATAATGTGTTTTCCGAAGCAAAAAAACAAAACAAAACAAAACAAAGCAAAAAAACAAAAAACAAAAAACAAACGTAATCCTCGTACTCGTTTTCTTACTTATTTTGAGGACAATCATGATTTAAAAATTCTTATCAATGAAAACATTTTCTTTTTAAATGAGAAAAGATGTAAACATGCATACGATAAACTCATCATCATATTTTTTCTCTCATTCAAATGAAAAAATTCACAAATTGAATTTTGCATCAAATTTGCTAATAATAATTGTAAAAATTTAGAATCGATCATTTGCAGCTAATTTTGCATCAAATTTGCTAATAATAATTGTAAAAATTTAGAATCGATCATTTGCAGCTATTTGCAATAAAAAATATTTTTAGACCCCGATCTACCTTAAAATATTGAAAATTAACAATGGCAGCATTTCTATTTCAAACGTGATACATAACTTATAAAGATTTAAATTTTCGTTAGGGAAGAGGATTTTCGAAATTATAAAAAAATTGCCATTTTTGACACAATTTGTATTGGTACCACTGAGCGTTACACGACGTTCTCAACAAAAAAAAGAGGATTTTGACGTTGTCTCAAAGAACGTTTCAAGCGTACAAGCATTTTACTTATGTGAAAATGTCGCTTTAACTGACTGTAAAATTAACATTCTGGACTTCTAATAGGCATTCATTTTGCAGAGATTTTTTGAGTTGCTTCATTAGATATTTTCTTTTTTTTCAATCCAGGGTTGGCAATAATAAATGTAAACATTAATATCCAAATTTCCATAGAATTTTTAAAATATTTAAAACACATGCAACATTTGTAATTTTGTGTAAAAATCACCTCCTACCGCAATGTTTAGCAACGAATTATAATATGATGTCATAAACGTATATGTCTTTGTATTATATTATTTAGCTACTTTCATTTTCAAAATAGACCATAGAAACAGAATGAAGCAGGAAACCCTGCAAAACATACTGCATATTAAGCTAAACTTTGACAAGCAATGCCTTGAAAACTTGTATGACAAGGTGGTTGACAAGTTTTTTTTCACCATAAAAAGTAGACAGATAGAGTTTTATCTGGGCTAATCATGTTGTACTTGTATATATATAGCCAGTGATTTAATGAATAAAGACAATGTTTGATTAATATCTTTATTATAACATGCCCTGTTCATATAATCATATCACGCGTTAAATGCCCTTTTTTCAGGATTGACACCCTGCCCTTTTGAAATCCTAGCTGGAACACTGGATGACAATCGTGCTGTATCAACCATCGGTGATAATATCGATATCAGTCACGGTTGCAAGGCTTTATCAAACCCCTATATGTATTACGTCATGTCTCGTGAAAAATACATAAGAGAGATTAGTTGCATTTGATGTACATGTATATATTAAAGTATATTAGCATATATCTTGCATTTATAAGCTTTTTATATGATTTTCGTATCAACCCTCAACCAAAATAATCCCTCGAGCAGAGCTCTTGTGATTATATTGGTGTCTCGGGTTGATACAGGTGTGATAAAAGTTGAAAAAGCCATATGATATTCTCTATTTAATGTCATTATAAAAAGTTGATATTAATTTTTCGTTATCCAGTAAATATTTAAGAAACATATTATTTTGACCTTAAATCATATAAACCCAGCAGAGATCTCTTATAATTTTATATACTTATAGAATGGTTCTCATTTTATGAACATGTCTTGTACATTTATAACTGTACATTACTGTGATTCAAAGATGATAATGTTCGATGTTGAATGGAATTTAGTTCCTAAACATATATCTCAAACTGTCAATCACTCATAACATTTGACTTATCGTTTGTTTTGCAGACATAATGCTTCGTCAAGAGATTCCAACCTTGTCCTTGTTGTCGCCTTTGTCACCTTTCAGTGAGTCATCCAATAGTAGTACAGATGAGCTAATCAGAGTTCCAAGGTATGTGTACATTATATATCTATAAAGAGTACATGTTATACAAGTCATTTGTCTCCATTTACTCAAAGTGATACCAATTCTAGAGAAGACTTTGAATCGATTTTTTTGTTGAAATCGCTGTAAATAACACTTTTATAGTTTTAACTTAACCCGTCCTGAAACATAAAATACATTTCATTTTTGTTTGTAAATTATACCAAATTCATAATCTTGTTCAAAAGATGTCCTTATATTAATACAAGTTTTCATGTGAGGGATGTTTGTGATTTTTTTTCCCCTAGAATTTTTTTAAAACTTTTTGACCTACAAACTTGATTTATAGTGAACATGGCGAAGATTATCCTAGAAATACGTTTGTGTGTTACTATTTTTAAGTTACTTTGGAATATTTCCCGTCAGAAAATATAGGTTTTGTTGACAACAAGATTTCCGGATTCCTAGACGATTTTGCAATTTCCAATATCAAATACCATTTGAATTGAATTCGATTCTCTCTTTTACATTTAGTTTTTTAATATTTAATTTGGATCGTTCTTATGGTTTTACGGGCGCAGGACATTTTAGCGATAATTTGTAAACCATTCGGGACACTGAAGTAATGAATAATCTACACCCTAATCTAGACTAAATATAGAAAAAGAACAGGGTAACATATCTGGCGCTAAAATAAGCTGGACTTATACGCTAAAACGTCTGATTTTGTTTTCGTTGAAATGGCCTATTAATACACAAAAATGTCCAAAGTACTTTATACAGTTTTCCAATTTCTATTATGTTTTAAATTTTGTAATCTGTTATCTGTTAGTCTTTATCTAACATACTCTGTTTTTATAAAAAAAAATAAAAAATCCTTTCCTTCTTTTTGTATTCTAAATGTTTTTTTCCCAATGATAACATATTAATTATTATTTTCTATAAATTTTAATGAAAGAAGTAAATACATGCCTGTAGTTTTTTTCTATGTATTTAATTACACAAAGCTGTATATAAAATGCATATTATCTCTGTAACAGTAATCATTCTTTGACTGTATAATATTAGAATTTAACAATGACTCTTTCACCTGATTTCTTTCAAATTTTGAATTAGATTTAATTTCCTAAAATTGACAAATTCCAAGTGACGATGTTGCAAGTCAAAAATTACTTTCAAAATATATATACACACTGAGGGCAAAAGAGGTAGGGCCAAATTAAGTCTCCCCTGAATTTATTTTACAGCAGGGGCATTTTCAAAAAGTCTCTGAGTCTTTATTTAATTGACAGTATCACAGCTCCATGTGTGTAATTTGAGGTTGTAACAATTCATTATTTCTGAATATTGTTCGACATCATAAAGGCCTGGATATAGCTCAAATCAAAAGAAAACGCTTAGATTTCGCAGCTGTGGATGAAACATATCCTAGTACAATTGAAATAGGTCCACCTTTCTGTTTTTATCCGAAGCAACTTCGTTTTCAACATTTTAATTACTTTTTTCATATGTTTTTTTACTCTTTTCTTCTATGTCTGTTTTATATCCTAACTAACATTGATTAATTAGCTAGCTTTATAATTATCAAAATGTTTAATAGCTATATATAGCCTTATGTAGAGAAATCACGTTTAGGCAAACAAATGTATATTTTGATTCATTGTATGAGAACTTTGAAACTTGCAACAAAAACGCGCTTGATTTTATTCCTTTTTTAAAGATACGTTTGATATTGAAAAAAACGTGATAATTATCCTCAACACTGTTCATACCATGTCAATTTTAACACAATTAACTTCTTCTTCTTAATGTTCATTATTTGTTCTTCATTACAGTCAAAGGGCTATGGCATTGCAGCATCAAGACCCGTCTTTTGTATCTGATGGAAGCCAGTCTGACACCTCTGACATCTCTGTTACAACTGTATCAACTACCCAAAGTATAGAAAGTGTAAAAAGGTAAGTTGTCCTAGATTTACATAAGTAAAATAATTCATACGAGGTAATCATAATTAGTGAGGCAGCAAACAAAACAAGGATTAACATGTCATGATACGGTCTTGACGACAAACAAGTGCATGCCCAAACTATATACGGGTCATCGCAAAGAGTTTAGACAATTGATCTGGCCTATGATTTGTCATGGAAACTTGAGAAAATAACCGTTCGGTTTCACCAATGAGTCAACTTGCCGGTGGTCACAGAATATAATTATTGTTTTTCTTTTATTGTTTTTTTTTCACTTACAATGTAAATCAGGCCGATGGTTTTCTTGTTTTATTTGCTTTCAATGTTGTCGATGCCTTTTTATAGATTACTATACATCATGGGTGTTGCTCATTGTTGAAAGTCGTTGTAACTTTCATCTACGTACTTTGGTGGATAGTTGTCTCATCAACAATCATACCCCATATTTTTATTTATATTTCAGTCCTTTTGAATTACTTGTAGTATTTTGGTCAGATTTAGTAATATAGAAAAAAATGATGCAGATACATCAGACTTTATTTTGTTTGCTCTTTCGAATATGGAATATTAAAGCAAATAAAAAAAAACGCATTTTCGTATAACTATGTTTAAAGACGTTTTACTGATGCATTTATAATTATTACCTTTTGGTTAATAAATGAAACTCGAGCACTTTTCAATAAATTTTTCGTCTCAGTGTAAACTAAATAAATAGATAAAACGAAATTGTCGCAACCAGAGGTATTGTTAAAAAATGAAGTAAACATTGAAAATGTTATTCAGATACCGACCATTCATCTATTTATTTATTTTTTTGGGGGGGAGGTTATTATTTTTTTAATTTACTGAATTTCTTAATTGAAATGTTTTTGAAAGAAAATGAATTATTCTAGAAAGGAAGGGGGGAATAGCTTGTTTCCAACGCAAATTATGAAAAAAAACCTGCAGTGTAATCGAAAACAATTTCTTGCCTTGTGAAAAAAAGTTTTTTTTTAAAAACGTCGAAAGCAATGTTTGTTCGGAAAAAAAATGCCCCTTATTAAAGATGAGTCGTCGGTACTTTACCAAACATTCTTTAATGCATTGACCAATAAAATCGCACGAAAAATACCACATTATTTAAAATATATGCAAATAACCGTATCATTGGATCTCTTTCGATAGTTTCTGTTCTGTCACCATTGCAAATGTGAATATTAAGCAATTACAAATAGTTATATAATTATATGTTGATATGTCCATCATTAACCTATACATGTACATCATGCTTTACTTCGTTGTAGTAGTACAACTACTGAGACCCTGATAAAAGTTCATTTGAAAAGTCATTCTTTCAACTATTTTTTATTAGAAAGCATATTTTTTACACATAGTTTGCTAAACTGTTAAAAGTAGTATGAAAAATCTAGGAGAAACTATTTACTTGTTATTTATAATTGGTTTTGAACTAGCTTAAAGTAAATGCGAATACTCATAAATCGGTACTTTGTGTCTTTTGTATTTGTCTTTCTGGTAATGTATTTTGTTCTTCGTACCAATGTGATGAGTAAAGCCATTTTCAACTCATCTTTTAAATTAGTTTGTTCTTAAGTTGGAGGGGTATACACCACTGCCACACGCTAGAGGGGTGGATGAGCCCGCCAGTCTGTCCCAAAGTCTGCAGCCTGTAATTCAATTGTTGTCGTTAGTTGCTGTCTGTCATATTTTTCGTTAACTGTCTTGTCATATATCAGGCCCGTTGGTTTTCTAATTTGAATGGTTTCACAATTTGATCATGTCGGGGCCATTTATAACTAACGGTTATACGGTATTGGTTTTGTTCATTGTTGAAAGTAGTACGGTGACTTTTAGTCTTTTACCATCAAAATGGACCAGACATGTACGATAGCAAGAATGAAATTAAATATAATATTGCGCAGACAAAAAAGTAACATTACAATTTTGACGAATGAACCCAATCTCATGTTCATCCCTGATTGAAGTAGTAAAAATGTTTAAAAGATTTGCTAACATTTTAAGACAAAAGCGAATATATAAAAATATTTCCGTGTTTTCCAATTCAAAATGCAGCTATATACATTTATTCTTATTTTAATTTTTTTTGTTTTATTGTTTCAGCAATCAGACGTCTGCTACTACAAAACCTAGCTACCAGCGCCATCCTAAGCCGCCATATTCCTATCTTGGCATGATCATCATGGCCATCGAGATGTCTCCTGATAAAGCACTTTCATTGTCCGAGATCCATCTCTCACTTGTCAGCATGTTTCCATTCTTTCGAGGCACGTACCGGGGTTGGAAAGATTCAGTTCGTCACACCCTATCTTCAGGCACTTGCTTCTTCAAGTGTCTTCGAGGACGTATCAACAAATGGGCTGTTCATCTTCACCTAGCACCTTACAACGCTCTTCACCGACAAGACACAGCAGACTCAAGATCCTCATACTGGCCGCCAACCATATATGACTATCTTCGTGTACCCGAAGTGAAGTTGCCTACAAAGTACAACACTGCTTCTCCATCAGCTACTACTTCTGACTACATCCTGCAGACCAAACGTCCTACAGACTTCAGCATAGATCGTATTCTCACTCCTGAGATAGCAGATGACTCCAGACCACTTCTGACAGATGATACCTAACCAACATTCAACAAGATGACGCTTAAACTTAAGACCCGAAAGACAACTACAAGACGTCACCAAAGCTCACCACTAACAAAATTGGTTACAGACTCTGCTACCAAATGGGGTGTTACTGAAGAAACCGCAGTCGACCAACTTCGTTCCTTGTGTAAAATTATGGACACTACTAGTGCTCTACAGCAACATCAAGCATCCGAACAGTTACTTCTAGTTAAGTCCGAGTTACCATCACCAAGTCTTACCGATACGTCTAACCATTCACCTCCAAGTGACCTACAACAGTCATCATCCTACCATTACCAGCTACCGACTGCATTTGTTCCAAGTTATTGTTTGACTCAGCCATCTATTGACTACCAGTCGCAAGCCTACCAGCAGAATTTGCCAACTCAGTCTCACACTACCAGCCAGCACCATCAACTTTATACAACGGAGTACTTTCAACAACTATATGCAGCTCATCAATACCAACAACAGTATGCACACCAGCAACAACTTTATACACAACAACTATACCATCAACAACTAGCAGCCCAGCAATATGTTTACCATCCTAGTTTCCAAGGTTACCAACAGAAAGGTTTCTTTCAAGTGCCAGCTGATTTCAACACACTTGCAGCTGACCTGTCGTCTCCTTGTCAGTAGTTTATCAAATATGAACAAATAACTCAAAACTGATTCATGGTGCATTGTTTAAATTACTTATTGATTCCAAATGTACATTAAATTACAATTAGTATCTATTTTATCATTTTGAAGTAAAATATAAAGAGAGAGATGCTAAAGAGGAAAACTTTTTTAGACAGTTAAGACAATCCTATGATTTGTATATTTATTTATCAGTTAAACAGAATGATATGAACATAATAAATAATTTATTATAATTATAATATCTTGTTCTTTTCAAAGCCCGAGTCAATTACAATCAGCTGTCCAACTTGTAACAGGCCTCGTGGCTTAGAATTCATAATTACTTTACAGTTATCGCCCTTTACCTTACATCACGTAACGAGTTTTATTTAAAATTTTATTCTTCAACCCATGGATTTTTCAGGCTATTTGTTTTGTAAACGTTACATCAGTGTACTGGTATAAGTTACAAATTGGGAGAGAATTTATAAAATGTATTGAAGTACAACAACAAAACACCAAAAAGTCTTACATGTATAACAAAATAATCATCGCACTATCAAAATATAATCAAAGTACTGAAGTACTGAACATCGGATGACCACAAGTTCTTGAGGATGGTCAAAAGCACTTGTCTCAGAAAAAAACAACATATCTCTTTACCTAAAACTGAGGTTAATGTACAGAGATTTATTTTTTTCTGAGACAAGTTCGTGCGTGGATGATGAATAAATGACAGGAAATTCAACTTCACCGTAATAACTATTATATTGTAGTGATACAAATCAGTATACACTGAGTTGTTGTTTATATTATATTAAAATAACAGTTACATATATATATGATTTGAATCCATTTGTATATCATTCTATTCTACTATTCTAAAAATAGTGCAATGCAAGTGCATGGTGGACACTTTTCTGTAAAAATTCGATTTTTCTAAGATTGGATACGAGTAGGCATTCATATTTTCCCGCAAAATCAATTACAGAGTTACCGGTCCTTGACGGTATTTTCACAAAACGTTCTTTGAGATATTCTTCCGCATGCTTTAACACAATTTTTCGGTACGTGTGCATTGATATTATCAATGATTTTTTACTTATATCAAGGACGTATAACTAACATATATACTAATATACGTCCTTGCTTATATATATATATCTAACTACAAAACATTTTCATATTATTAATTTATGTTGTAAACAAAAATATTTTTATCAGTATTCATTGAAGAGATGTATTTATATCAAACGATAAGGAATGTTATTTTGCACTCGTTTATGTGCGCGTATTTATCATGTTTATAGATCGGTTACAAACCCAAAACTAATTTACATAATGGAAATCTAGGCGATAGCAATACATCGGGATGACCTCAAGGTCATCGCGATGTAAAAATCACTACTTAATATTGGTTGATTGATGGTGGTGTAAAATAAAGTCATCAGACACGAGGTGTGTCGCAGTGAACATCTTTTGTTCAAATATCACAAATACATGTACTTTTGATTTTTACTTTCCACGTATAAAAGAACACTATAGTGAAACATTTTGTATTAATATATAGATAAATACTAGTAATCGGGATAAAACCATGCTTCTTCGGTTGTAGGCGCATGTACATACTGTAGGTTTAAACAACATGATTTATTGTAATTCGCTTTAAAATAACTCTGAGTACCTTACTATGAGCGTGCTTCGTACCGATCTGGTG